AATCTATCAACTTGATCTTCAAGGAATGGCACAGGCACGAATACAAGCCATAACTCTTTTATGTAAAGTTTATCTTAATTATTTAGTCAAATTATCAAAATATGATGGGATGCTTGATTTGTGGACTAGTTTGTTAGATGTTATTGATAGATTAATTAATAGTGGACAACCAGATCATCTTGTAAACTTATACTAATTTTCTAATTTTTATTAATATTCTATAGACAGAAGCTATTCTTGAATCTCTTAAAAATGTTTTATTAGTTATGAATACATCAGGTTATTTAATACCCCCATTAGATTCAGATTTAGTATGTTCTAAAAATTCTAATTATAATCAATTTCATAGTATATTATGGAAAGAAACGTGGACTCGTATTAATCGCTTTTTGCCAAATCTTAAAGAAGAGTTATTTCCTACTTCAATTTATTCTAATTAATAAAATTTTTATAAAAATTATATGGAAATCAACTGTTTTTATAAATATTATTTAAGATTTTTGGAACATTAAAGATGTTTTATATTTATATTTACTAGAGGACAAAAAATGTTATTTTTTATATTTTTTGATCTTATTTTATAAATGTGAATTTTTTCAAAAAAAATCATAATGTAAAAGATGATCTAAATATTTATTAATATATAATATTAGAAACTGTCATTGTTCTCTGGAGTCCGGACTGGTGTAGTGGTTAACATCTGTCGCTTTCACCGACAAGCTCGGGGTTCGATTCCCCGGTCCGGAAGATAGTTTAGTGTTTATAAATATTTTGGGAGTTCATCTTGTATCTGTTCTTAAATTTTAGTTTTTTAAATATTAAATAGTAAGGATTTTTCATTATATGATTATTTTTATTGTTTTATTTAGTACAAAATAATTTATTATGTATATTATATAAAAATTGTTAAAAATTATAAATAATGCGTTTATAATTTCTAAGTTTATGAAAAAATATAGAATTATTTATGATTACATGTTTTACAATTATTTTTTTTAGTTTTTAATTATTCAATTGTTAGGAAATTTTATATATACTGTTATTATATAATATTCTAATGTATTATTTTTATATTTTTCTATAGTTCTAATTATAATCAAATATTTGGGTTTTTAAACTTTATCATTTGAAAATTTATAAAAATTTTAATTTTAAGTAAATATTATTATAGATATCTTTATTCCAAAAGTTCTTTTTTTAAAAATACAAATATCTTATATTTAAAATATTTTTCTATATAATTATTTTGTAATTCTTTTTAAAAATAAATACTAAATAATATATATTTAAAGATTTACTTGTCTATGAATCAAATAATTAATTAAAAATAATTTTTATTAACTCAGATAAGACAAATTATGTAAATAATCAAACTTATTAATACAAAAATATACAAAAAATTTAATGTTAAATCTTAAACATAAAATCAACAATTTTAATTTCTATTATCTATTAATATTAAGCGTATATCTATCAAAAACTTTAGATTGAAAAGATAATTATTCATTAATCATTATGAATAAATAAGAACCAATAATTTAAGTTTTAAAAAATAAATTTACATAGTTTTAAAATTTATACTATTAAGTATTACATTTTTCAAGTATCAAAAATTTAAATCTATTCATACTTTCAAAAACCTAATATTCTATAATTTAGATTTATAAAGATAGAAATATAAAATAAGATATTTATTTTTTATATAAAATTTATTTTTTTAAAATTCGTCAAGCATTTTTTATAAAAAATAAAAATAAAAACAAATAATATACTTGTAATTCTCCAGAACAAATTCCTTATTTCATTAGATATTATGTAGTAGATATAGACAGTGAATCTAAAAAATCAATTTCTGCATTAGGATGTATGACATAGACTTTTTTAGCAGTTTTTTCCTGCTCATTTTCTACAACTTCATCATATAATTCCATAATATAATGATCCTATGTATTATTTAGCATCTAAAGGAAAAAAAATCATTAGTACTTTAACTAGCTTCTTTAAAACTTTTTTTACTAAACTATTTTCAGCAATTAAAGCATCTTCTGTTAAAATTTCATTTTCTTTTTGTTCTAAATACCATTGAATCAAATCATCTTCTTCTACTCCTTCCGTATCTTTTAACTCTTCTTCTTTCAATCGTTTAACAATCATATTTAAAATAGAAACATATTTATCATATGTAATTTTTGTTTTTTCTTTTTTAGGCGGAAGATTCAAATCAGGCATTGACATATCATTTACATCCGTTCCAGTCGGATATTTTATATCATCATCTAAACCTACATCGTCTCTTTCAATATATATTATACTTTGACGCAAAAGATTATAAGCCTCAGTAACAAACTCAGGCGTTATATCTTCTAAACAATTTGCTCTTGCAATAGCTTCACTAAGTCGTATCAGACTTTCTAGTTGACGTACAGTTATACGATATGAATTTTTCCCCATGCCCTGTGCATCGTCAATTCTAAGTTCCTTATATCTTTTAACGAGCTCTATCTGGGCTTCTGATGTCAACTTTGGTTTAAATGTTCGTGCATATCGAATATATCTTTGCAATTGTTCAGTAGAGAATTCAGGTCTTATAGCTTCATCGCGTAATCTATGTGTCTCAACAATATGTCGTGCTAAATTTAAGTCTGTTGCCTCATTACACTCATCAAGAATAACAAAAAATAAATCAAATCTTGACATAATAGGAGGAGACATCTGAATATTGGCACGAAGATTCGCTTTACGGTTATAGCGACCACCTACGGGATTTGCAGCTGCCAGGATAGACGTACGCGCATTCAAAGTAACATGAATCCCTGCTTTAGCAATAGAAATTGTTTGTTGCTCCATAGCTTCATGAATAGCAACTTGGTCAGAAATATCCATTTTGTCGAATTCATCAATTGCGCAGATACCATCATCAGCAAGCATCAATGCACCCGCCTCTATCGTAAATTCGCCTGTTTCTTCATCTTTTACAACAGCTGCTGTTAATCCTGCGGCAGACGATGCTTTTCCTGAGGTATAAACCGTACGAGGGAAAAACTCACAAACATACCTAATTATTATTACGAAACTCTTACAGTTTAAGAAAAAAACCTTAAAAACTGAGACTTCGATGTAGAGGGATCCCCTACAATGCATATATTAATATCTCCTCTCAGATTAATTCCTTCTGGTGTAACTTTATGCACACCCCCCATAAGCTGCAAAAGAATACCCTTTTTGATGATTTCATGGCCATAAATTGTAGGTGCTATGCTATTAACTAGCCTAGAATATATACGATCCATATGGACCATTTTTTTCAACTCATCAATCTCTATCTGCGAAAGAGAATTCAAAAAAGCATCTTGTTCTTTTTCCTGGCCACCGTCTCCACGTGCATCGATATATGTACCATCCCGTTGATCAATTGACTGTGCCATACATGCAAGAAATGCAAGACGATACGTCAAATCCCTGACGCCCAATGCCTTAAGCCCTGTTACACCCTCAATAGCAAAGCCGTCCCGGACTCTGCCCAGCCCCCTCGTATCACGCATCGCTTCTGGACGTATACCAGGAAGACCCAGCTGAGATATATCCGGAATAACAATCAAAGACCCTGTAAAGAGACATTTGTCCCCTGCCTTGACTCTTTCGACTATTTCTCCACGCAGAATCACATCCAGACTAGCACATGTACTTAGCCCTCCATGTCCCTGTATTTTTATACACTCACGTCCGAGGCATGCTGCCTGTCGGTATTTCCGAGTTGTTTTCCTGAATCCGGACCTTTTGCCAATCTACAAAGCTTGACTGAGAGATGTTTAGCCGCCAGCTCTTCTGGTTCCTGCATATTTCGTTTGGACACTGTGATGGCTGCAAAATCTCATCAGAGGAACCCCCTCCTCTTCCCTACCTCTGTATACCGGAAAACCTGCTCCACATCCGTCACCACTGCACGGCACGCCTCACAGACAAATGTTGCACGGCTCAGCTCCGGCCTTACTTCGCTCGTCCGTGTCACCGTGCCCGAAACACTGCTCAGCTTGCCAATCCGGTCTGCACGCAGGTCCCTAATCTTCGAGACAAGCGGGAACCCGTAGAATGCGAGATGAAACGTCTTGTCCGTAGACGCCTTAGACCCACTTGCCGTCTGCGAGACAGCCGAGCGGTAGTATGCCGGCTCGTAGCGCTCAACAAGGCGGTGCAGCCCGCGCATCAGGAACGGGAAAAACCTGCCTCGTCAGCCCGCCGCCTCCCCGTGCTGCACCGCACCATACACGCCATGCAGCACATGCAGCGCACAGCGCGCATACACCCGCATACACTGCAGCACGCATACACAGCGCATATATTGCGCATACACTGCATATACACGCATATACTGCGCATACACCCCAAATACACTGCATACACGTGCTGCACAGCGCAGGACGCATACACTGCATACGGCACGCATACAGTGCGCATACAATACGCATACAATACGCATACAGTGTGCATATAGTGTACATATACCGCGCATATACTATGCACACTGTGTGCATACAGTGCATACACCCACACGCAGTGCACCCACACATACCGGTAGTACTGGTCAACAAGCGCCTCCGCCAGCGCACTGTTTTCAAACCCAAGCACATGCATATAGTCCACATACAGCGTCGTCCCCTCATACTCCCGCATCCCGTGGATCTGCTCCACATAGTACCGGTGCCCCCCCCCCTCGACCTCCTCAACAAAGCTGCCCCGTCAGCCCCGCCCCCATCCCCTCCCATACTTCTCGACAAAGCTCTCAAAGCTCTCCCGGACCTTCTCCCCTGTGATGTCCACAACCCTTGGCACTCCCCTCTCCCGCCGCCCCCGCTGCCGCTGCTCCGCACTCTCCCCTGTCTCTCCCACGTGTCCCGCCTCGCCCGCCTGGCTCGACGCGTCGTAGCCCTGTGTGCCGTCTGCCATTGCAGCCGTCTGTGCTGTATGCGCTTTTATCTGCCTTCGCTGCAGCACCCTCTGCTGCCCTCATGGTCTAGCTGGCTATGATACGGGTCTCATACACTGCGGGGCACCTGCAGCCATCCCGGGGTCGTGAGTTCGAGCCTCACTGAGGGCACTTTTTTGATGGATCCGACTCTTGCAGCACTTGCTGCACTCGAGGATGCGCTGCGCTGCCGCATCTGCAGAGACCTGATGGCTGCGCCGGTCATCACCGGCTGCAGCCACACATTCTGCTCGCTGTGCATCCGGCGCGTGCTCGTGCAGGACCAGCGGTGCCCGGTCTGCCGGCACGCGGAGGACGAGCAGCGGCTGCGGCGGAACAGTGCAGTCGAGGACGCAGTCGATGCATTTGCACGTGCAAGGTGTGTATGCGGAGTGTATGCGTGCTGATGGCAGGGCGGGGCTTGCAGGGCGGGGGGGAGAGGGGGGGGAGTGGACAGAGTGTCCGGTGTGTGGGCGGCGGGTGGTGGTGGGGGACGCAGAGGCACATGTTGATGCGTGTCTGGGGGAGGCGCGGCCGGCAAAGCTGGCACGGGTCAACTATGCGCTGTGGACGGAGTCGCGGCTGCGCGCGGAGCTGCGGACACTGGGGCTGCGCACGGTGGGCGACAAGGCGGTGCTGCAGCGGCGGCATGCAGAGTGGGTGAATCTGTGGAATGCAAACACAGATGCGGCGCGGCCGGCTGCGCGCAGCGAGCTGGTCCGGCGGCTGGCGCGGTGGGAGCGGAGTGCACATGCAGTGCAGCCGAGCATCCGCGACATTGCCAGCGACGCGTGGCTGCGGACACACCGTGCGGCGTTTGCGCAGCTTGCGGCTGCGGCACGTGCAGGCATTGCGGGTGCACGTGCGAAGCCTCCGTAGCTGCAGACAGCTGGCAGGGCTAGGGCTGGAGTGATAGGGCTAGGGCCAGGGTTTGAAGAGGAAGGTCAGGGCTAGGGAAGACAGGGGTAGGGCTAGGGCAGAAGACTATTCGACTATCTTGATGGGCTGTCTGGGGGAGCTGCAGGGGACGGCGGAGGGGTCGGTGGGGGGGACGGAGAGGTCGATGTGGGAGAGGAGGGAGGAGACGGCGTCGGAGGCGGCATCCTTGATGTCTGTGTCTGCAAAGGCACGGAGAAGGGCCTGGAACTCCTGCTCGATCTGTGCATCGGAGACTTCGGCAAGGTCGACCTCGCCAAGGACCTTGCCTATGTCTTTGAGCTCGCAGGAAAGCATCTTGGCTCTTTCGATGACAAGCTCGACGTTTTTGAAGCCGCCGATGGCATTGAGGAGGGTCTCGAGGACGTCGGAGCCACACTTCATTGAATTGAGGATGTCGAGGTTGATAGCGGCCTCGTCGATCTTGGAGAGCATCTGTTTGATCTGTTCGAGGGCCTGGAGTCTTTTTTCGAGAGTGGACTGTGAGGATTTTTTGGAACGGAGATGGAACAGGGCCAATGCCTTGTTTTTGGTTTTGACGGCGGCCTTGACGGTCTCATCGAGTCTGGTGACGTTGTCGGTGAGGGTGGTAACGAGATGCTGGAGCTGATCGCGGATGGTTTTGAGTTTGAAAACGAACATGTCGGTCTGGTTGACGTCGTCTGCAACGGGTTTAGTTTTGCTTCTTAGCTTGATGACCTATAGGGTGTCAGGAAAAGAGAAAGAACAGAAAAAAGACTTGGCCGTTTGAACAGGTGCATATCTCCTTCCTATAGGCTGAAAGATAGTGGACAACGATTTGCATATCCAGTCTGGAGAGGACGCGGGGAGGAAGCACTTTATTGGAAAAGCAAGAAAGGAGTTCGTTGAGAGAATAAATGTGGTCGCTGTACATTGTTCTGTCCTGAACTAAGGCAAGAAAAGCGTTAGCAGCGCACTCAACATGCTGCATGATCACGCAGACGGCATTGAAACGGCGGCTTTTGCGGCTCAAGAGGCCAATCCCTTGCAAACTCCATGTGACCATGCTAGACATAAACGAGATAAGATAAGCATAAATGGGTTTTCTTTTTTTCAAAAAGCAATCCAAACGCATCCAGTCACCGCTAGACAGAGCCTCCTCCTGCCCAATTGGTTAGCCAAGTGTACGTTGGTCTTGGAAAACAAAAGACCATTGTTTCTACCATGCCCAAAGGGGTGCCATATTTTGTCGTATAAAGCGAAGCAAGAAGCTTACTATCACAATAAATAACAAGATAATCGCTTTTCCATGTAATCCTGCCGGCCCAAACTGCCTCCTGAAGTGCGTATTTCCATGCACAAATATTTGCTTTGTATCCCTCAGGATTTGATTCTTTCAAAGCAGAAAAGTCAGAATAAAGTGATGGAATACGAGTTGCAGTGAAGTCAGGACAGTTAAGAATAAATTCTATCAAAAGGCATCCTTTTTCAAATGATTTTCGGTCTATTTTTTGATTTTGAGATGATTCCTCTACCATATCAATTGTTGATAATCATCGATTGAAGAAACTAAGCCGTGTTAAACATAGACAAGAAAAAAAACATGTTGAAAAAAATACATGAAAGCAACAGCAAATATGAATAAAATTTCGTATTAGTTTCTGTTTGAATATCTAAAAACATTTAGAAAAAAAAATAAATAATATCATTGAAAGTGATGCAAGATTCAAGAAAAACAAACAAGCCTAAGTGTATGCTGCCTGAAGTAAAGTATCCATAAATGTCTTTATCCCAGGCCACTGTGTGTTTTCGTATACTACCATTGCATCTTTGAGTGATTGCTGGGCAAGATACTTTTTTCCAATGAGTAGCCAGGCCTCTGCAGAAAGCACTTTCCAAAAAGCGGCTTTCTTATAGCGAGAGCCATATTTAAGGGTTCCGTATACTTCCACAGATGCAAAATACGTTGCGATTCTTTCTGTCAAAAGTGTGCCAACAATGTTTCCAACAATACCAGACTCAAGAATCTTTATAAGCCATCTAGCAGCATCATTTTTCGCTTTATTAGATCGAAGAGCCATAAGTTCTGAAGCAAACATGATAGAGCGTAAAGCAAAAAACGGTGAAGAACATTGTGAAAGATATGAATATAGAGAAGCATCCAACATAGAATCAATAGTTTCAATTTTAATTTTTGTCGAATACATAGGAAGCAAAAGTAAACAGAAAGTTGACATTTCATGTGCACCAGCATAATATTTCCATGCATTATCATCGAAAAAGTCTTTCTTAATAAGCTCATAAATAGATTGTGCGAATTTCCAATCATGAAGCATAAAGGCATAATCAGCAAGCTTTCTTAATTGTGCTTCAGGAGAAGATGGAGGATAAGACGATGTAGTAATATCATAATTACCATTTTGATGCGAGGACGCAGAATTGCGTGCTAACCCTGTACCAAAATAACGTCTAGAGATACTAAGAAATCTTCCAGAAAATCCTTTGCGAGGAACAACAAGCTACACAGAGTTAATATATATTCATGTTTAATTTACCAGTTTACTTGCTCATTCCAGATATCAACTGAGCATTTCATAACAGGAAGAATGCTTTGAGAAATCAATTCTTTCACAAATGCACGAATAGAAGATGTGTCTTCACCTGACAAACCACAATACTTATCAGAAGGATTAATATAATCGCGGAATAAATACTGAGTATCTTCAGGTATACTAAAAGGTATATTCTGGAGTCTTTTTTGCTCTAAAATTTTCATACATCGAGGCTCTTGCAATATTTTTTCTACTGAAGATAATCTAATAAAATAAGCATGCGCACCAAAAGTTCTCTGAATAGTCTGAAAAATCTGTAATGACCTGAAAAATGAGAGAGTTTTTAAAAGATAAGAGTATACTTTTCAAAGTTATGAGCATCATCATGTATAAAAAGATATGTCTGTAGATAACCAAGATCAATGTATGGTGGAAGAGACATACGCGACTGCTGTTCCAAAAGTAACTCAAGTGCTTTAAGTGGTGCTGGACTATATGATGAAACTGCAAAAATACAAGCGACAGGATGACTAAAAGATTCATGCGCAGAAGGAGGAAGAAATGTCAATAGACGGAAATAGATATCAAATACAGATGATAAATCGAGAGACGACCCTCCAAGTGATGTTTTTAATGGAATATCTCCCCAAAAAGATGTTTTTTTTGTTTTCAAATCATCTTCAGATGTCTTTTTCGACCCAAAATCTCTAAACGATGCATTCGATGAAGTATCTGTAGCAAGGGTATTTGGTTGCATTGAACAGTTAGCAAATTTTTTATCTAATGTTAAATCTTTAATCAATTCTTCTGATACTTTGTCATCTTTAGCTAGTAGCTCTGATAAATTAGAAGCTTTAAATGATACATTTATATCTTCCAAATTTTCAACTGATGCTTCTATCAAAACATTTTCTTTAATTTCTGCATATGATAAATCTAAATTTATAATTATTATTTTTACTATACCTTCTTTCATTGCATCTGATACAGACGGAGATTCCTCAGTTCTAATCTCTAGACTTTTTTCTAAAAGATCAACGTGATAAGCAATACACTCCTCAATCCACCCAAGTTGACCTTCAAGAGAGCTTGCTGGTCTTTCCAAAGGCATAAAACGTATACCCAAGAGAGAATCCTCAACAAGCTCATCAGATCCGTCTTCTCCAAATACTGATAGCATCTCTCTTAAACACTTATATCCTTTTGCTATCGCAACTCCATCTGCATCTTCAGAAGAAAAGACGGCAATACACGGCAAAAAATTACGTAAAAACAAGTGTGCAACATTTGATGATGAAAAATGTGGTCTTTGTCCATCTGTTCGTTCATAAAAACAATGAATTTTCTCACTTAAACTATCTCTTTTTTTCATCTCAAATTTTAAAGTTAATAAAATGAATAAAGTTGCCATAGAAATAGTTGGTAAGGCAACATATTGTCATGACAACATTATCAACTAAGACCAACTACTAAGAAATCATAAAACAGTAACAATTTCCATATAAAATAAAACCATATAATTTTTTTTTATATATTTTCAAAGGATAATAATTGAGTAATTTATAAGTGAGAATTTTTTTCTGTATAAAAGATATCTTAAAATATTAGTTATTTCAATTATTAATAACATTTAAAATATTTCTTACTTTTTAACAATATTTAATATAGCTACATTTTATTAGT